GGGTCTTTGGGAGGTAATTGGCAGCAGGCGGTCTCTCAAGTACCCAGGTCCAATACCATGAAGGGCTTTATAAGTGACGACTAGCACCTTGAAATTTTCTCTAATTATCTTTTCAAATAACTATAACTAATTAATTTCAAATCACTATAACAATTAATTGAACAAGAAGCTATATCTTGAAATTTGTAGTCTGTCAATCACCTTTTTGATCAGGATATTTTATTCTGCTTTCCCTTTTCTTCCAGATACTTACAATATTCTATGCTTCCTATCATGATCAGTCTTTTATTAGGGGATTATCTTTGCTTAAGGAGAATGGCTCTGAAATATTATGTAGTTATGGAAGTCTTCAGAGCCTCCCATGTCTGCACAATACTTTTTAACAACATAAAGATGGAGGAAAGGACAGAGATCATTGTTAGTAGCATATTATTCCAGAAATATTTTTATGTATGTTCTTGTTTACGTCATTAAAATGTAATGGTAATGAACTAAAATGAGACTTTGGGTAGTGGTTCTATTGACTGATTTTATTGATACTCTCTTTGCCAAGATTTAGTGTTCTTAATGATGCCCAAACCTAGGTACATGTTTTTTCCCTTCTTAGGACTACCATATAATTAAATAGAATTATGATTTATGCTTGATAGATTTGAGTTGTCTGTGAGAATTGAATACTGTGTTATTATACAGTTAAACAAAAATAACTTCATTATATTTTTACAAAAAATTGCAGATGTTAATAATTTCAGGTAAGGGAAGAGAAATGTCAGGATAGAATTGTATTAATATATATTTGAACTGTTATAGTTCACAGTAATTATAGATGTGTAATCTTTTCATGTTATAAAGCTCTAATATACTTTAAATATTCTGTTTCCTTATTACAGTTGTCCTGTGGGGGAAAGTTCATTATGTTACTGATCTATATATCACTGTAGTTAATCATGAATAGAATGTCTCTTTTATGAGCAGAAGGGAAAATTGCACCTCACAATGCCAGGGCCTCTGGTGCTGCTGTTTCATCCAATAGGTGTTTGCTCAGATATGCTCCTCATTTAGTTCAGTAGCACTTGTTCTCAAGGAAGTTTGCAAACTCAGGGATGAATCGCATTTATACAGTTTTAGAGTGAGAGAATTTATTATATTTAAATCAAGTATCAACCGGATCACATAAGATGCATCAGTATACCCATATATTAGGAGGGTTTTAAATTAGAAAAGCTAATTCCCAAATTGATGGTTGTTGGTGCAATAAATTACTGTCTACCCCCTCTTTTAAACATCCCCATTCATGTGTCATTTATTTGGTAACAATTCTAATATATGTAGAATTTACACTCATTGATTCATGTCATACCTAAAGAATCGAAAGAACTTACTCCACTGTGGTGGCCATTGCAAGAAATGTTCCTGGAGCATATTTGTAAATATAAATCATAAGGTGAAGTATTGATTGTTGTTTGGATTCAGGAATGTATTTAGTTGCACAAATAGCCACTTACTCTGAAATAAATCCCAAAAATTTGCTTTATCACACCACAGAATTTATATTTGAAAAATTTATATTGACTTCACTAATGCTCTTTGTTCCAAAAAGTATTGCACCTTTATGACTGATAATGTTCAAGATATGGGTTGGCAGTTAGAAGCAGTGGAAATGTTGCAGATAGTTTACTGTTTGAATATTAATACTCTTAAAAATACCAAGTTAAAGCTTGGTAATAATTCCCTGCAACTTAAAAGGCTAAAAAACATGTGAATATTTCTAAATCTACTGCTACATGATATGAATTAAACAACTGTACTACATTCACAGAATGTGGAGAAGTTTTTATGCTATTGCAGTGGGTCTCAACCTTCCTGATGCCGCGACCCTTTAATACAGTTCCTCATGTTGTGGTGACCCCAACCATAAAATTATTTTATGTTTTCCATATTTTTTTTCTAAAATATGTGTTTTCCGATGGTCTTAGGCAACCCCTGTGAAAGAGTCGTTGGACCCCCAAATGGGTCGCGACACACAGGTTGAGAACCGCTGTGCTATTGGGTCTGCTTAGACTATGTAACCTATGGCATATATGCCACCTTTTTAAGGGCATGCAAGGCGTTGCCCTGTCAGCTGGCCAGCGCACATGCGCATATTGGCCAGCTAACTTCGGCCTTCTTTTGAGGCCGTTTTTCGCCATCTGGAGACTTGCAAAAAACCAGCCGTATGGGCAAACCGGAAGTTCAGGAACAGACTTTTGGTTTTGGTTTGCATAGAACCATTTTTCACCCTCTGAAGGCCCCTGAAGGCTCCGGAGATTGAAAATCGGCCCTACGGACAAACCAGAACTCACCATTCCCGAACTTTCGGATTCCCCGTAGGTCTGTTTTTCACCCTCTGGAGCCCCCCTGTGCTCCCCTCCCCTTTTAGCACAGGAGCCAAAAAAGGTTTGCCATCACTGCTATATAATATCTCTTTTATCACACAGATCCTAATAGCAGTGGAGAATCTCTACAGAAATTGTAGTTATAGTACATGACAACTATCATGCAATTCCTATTTGCTTTGCCACACATGCCTAAATGTGATAGGCATTATTTTTATAAAATAAAATGTGTGGCGCTTTTTGCAGTACATTTGCCACCCTAATGTCACTTAGAAATGAAGTTATTAATTTCAATAGGACTTACTACCTAGCAAATGGATTTAGTTTGTACACTAAGAGGACTTTGTTCCTCTGGGTAGAAACCAGCTATCATAACAGTATAAATAAATAATAAGCCTGTTCTCTTAAATTACATCAGATAATCAGATCTCAGTGGACAACTTAACTTCGTTCATGTCTGTCTCTTCTTTTAATGGTAGAAATTCTCTTCTCCCTACAATTAAATTAGACTATGACAGAACAAATAATTGACCCTTAAATTCACAAGGAAAATCAACTTTTGGAAGAAAACTCCAGACATGTTTGTACAAAATTGACAAAAATATTTGTAGAAACATATATTACATATTGTCATGTCCTATATAAATGTTGGTAATCATTCCCTCCAACTTAAAAGGCTAGAAAACATGTGAATATTTCTAAATCTAAACAGAAAAAAGAAATCAGTGGCAATGCTTCATAAAAATTAATAACCATATAAAATATTGACTCATACTAAAACATGGAATTACAATGAAGTGTACTTTTATTCTCAAGCTAGCTCTTAAATTTGATGAATACTGTACAATCTGAGCGAATTGAATTCCGTTTCCATATATATATAGTTCTTTCATTATCCTATTTTTTTCTGAATTTTCTTTTCTTTTCATAAGAAAGCAATCCAAAATGCAGAGAATGTTTAATATTTGGTTTTTAGAAGAAGAGTTCCAAAAAGCTGAGATAATGCAGTTCCCTAAAATTATAAACGAATCCATGTGATTCCCATATGAATAAAACTAATTTTTCTTTGGGTTTATGGTTGGGCAAGAAATAAATGTTCTACTTTTAATCACTGAATTTTAACCTATATGTTCCAAGGATTCTCATACTTTAAAATATTGTACCGGTGATCTGTTTTCACACTTACAACTATTGCAGATCTTCATGGTTACCTAACCAAATTCAAATACTTAGCATCTGGCATGTATTTATGATAATTACACCGTCCTGCAATGATTCATAACTGCATTATTCACTTAACAACTGCAGTGATTGGGGAAAAAAGGTCTTAAAATAGGGAAAAACACAACAATTGCTTTGCTTAGTAATGGAAATTTTGGGTCCAGTTATGATTGTGACTCAATTTTCCTGACCTACAATTTGAAAATCCCTGAACAAAAACTTCTAGGGCAGGGTGAGATCTGATTTCCCTCCTAGCAATCTGAACTGGAAATAGTTGGCCTATCGAACAAAACTTTCAAGGTCCTGTAATATTTATTAGTAGTATTTATTAAAAGGGATGTTATGGTTGCAGCAGAAGAATTCCAATGAGTGTCAACTAAGAAACCTACATTTATACAATCTAATATGGCAAAACCTGTTCTGCCTTCTGATATGTTTTTGATTCAGAGGACAGGCGGGTTGTCTCTTCTATTGAAAGGGTCAATATACTACTATTATCAGTATGAGAATAACTTGTTATAGGTGAAACACATGATCTATATCCCACACCACACTGTGCTGTGTAAAAAATAAGGAGTCTGGTAGCATCATAGTTTTCTAACGTAGTGTGATGGTTAAGATGTCAGAGATCCAAGTACATCTTCAGACTTGTCTGAAATCTGGGTGGCTTTGGGTAAATTACTGTCTTGTCCCAACTCTTATAGAGAGGTTATTGGGGGTGGGGTGGAATCAAACAAGGAAGTACTCCACCTTGAACTTTTGACCGAAATGAAGGATAAAATCTAAACAAACAACAGTCTACAAGTGATCTTTATTGTATGCTAGAATGGCTTCTTGTTGCCAGATTTTAAGAGACTTTAATAATTGTTTCAATAATTATTAATACTTCTAAAATGCCAGCAAGGCACCCTGAGATTAAATGTTGAAATTAAAATAATATCATTTCTGTTGTTTTCATTCAGCCAGTAAATGCTGACATCACACAGCAACATTCCTGTGTGCCTTCATGAGTGGCTTTCACATAGAAAAAAGGAGTTGCTTTAAAGAATGGAGTTGGCTTGCAGCTTGCTATTTAATGAAGAGGCTTATAATCAACTGGGTGAATTTCAGAAAGCAGAATTTGCTTTGGAATGGCTGAGGTTTTTGGAAAAACTTTTACCAACAACTAATCAGGTAAAAATGATACAACTAGAACAGAACATATTTTTGTTTCCTGTGGTCTTCCTTTTCTTCCTAGGAAGGGATATCATTTAGGGAGCTGACTAGCAACTGGAAATGGAAATCGAATACTATTTTGAACCATACTTCACTTGAATGACTCTGAACCCAACTGAAAATGGTCTAAAGCTTTTCAGATAGTTCAGAACTTAAATGTTAACCATGTATTCTATATTTCCAGGCTGATATAAGAGAAAAACAGAACAAACTTGTTGAGCAACTGATATCATTATTAACCAGTTCACCAGGACCTCCTGCTAGACAACTCATTGCCAAGAACCTCGCTATATTGTATAGCATAGGAGATGTTTTTTCTGTTCACCAAACAATTGACAAATGCAACGAACTTATTCTGAGTAAAGATGATTCGCCAAGTTATCTACCTACTAAACTGTAAGTTTAAAAGTCCACCATGGCCATGATATAATATTATTTTTTTCATCATAGAACTTATAGAGTCTTAAATAAAAATAACAAAATTGCATACAATGTGAGTGTGAATTTTGAAGATTAGAATAGGACTGCATCCAATTTTTCGTTGGCCTGGTAACAGAGCCATAGTTCCCTATGTTTTCCCATGCACTGCCCATTTGCACAACACAAAGGGAATTTCTTTCTTTTTAGCTCCTGTTCTTTTTATTTGTATTCTTCTCCAGGAATCAGTCTATAGTTGGATGATGGGAACAGAATAATCAAAACAATTTAGTTTAGAAAAAGAGACTGGTGAAAACACAGCAATTGGAGGAATGCCTAGAAATGTTGGATTGGCATTTATATGTTGTAGTGGATAACCAGACGGGCATTTAAACACAGGCACTCAAGAATTACAGTCAAATAAACAGCTCCAATCTCCAATCTGGCACTAATAATGCTCCATCCTTTCGCAAGTGAGCTGCTAGCAGATAGAAGCCCCTAGCATAAAACTATAGTCTCTCTATTGGCCTACAATATTCTTAAGATCAAGATTAAGTTATAACTAGACCTTATGAGGAATTGCATAAGTTTTTCAAAGGAATAGGAAGTATACATGATCTAAAAATAGGCTTTAACAGTTGAAAAACATTTAACCTCAAGTAAACCCAAGTTTCAGGATATAACATCATGCTGTCTTCAATTATGAGTGTTCCTTTTCTGGATACAGATGGAAGAAATGCTTTAATTTTAATAATGTTTATTTGTTTGAAACACAATCTAATTCTTTAAAAAGGGCATATAATTTGTTGTACACAGTTCATATTTTTCATTATATGAAACTTCTCTTAATAACATTTTTGCAAATGCTTTCTTCTAACATATGCCCATTGAATTATCTTTCATAATTGTATAGTAAGGAAAATAATTGCTCCCTCATATCAGGAAAATAATTGCTCCCCCATATCAGTTATTTTATGAAAATCTAATTACATTGGGTGGCTCCTACTTAGACCTCGGACTTGTTTCAAGTTGCGGAAATATAGGGTTGGACTAGAAGACCTCCAAGGTCCCTTCCAAATCTGCTATTGTATTGTATTGTATAGATTAGAAATTATAGCTTCAATAAATATATATGAACATACTTGGGAAAATTTGAGTTTTGCTTAAGCTTGTGACATACTGTCCAAAATATGGCAAAACGTCATTGAATTACGTGAGTATTATTAAGAGTGATAACCTGATTGGTTCCTCTTTATTACTAAAAAAGCATCATGTGATGGTTAAATTGGCCAAAGGCATGATAGGGAATGGAAGTTACAGAGTCATCTGGTTATGAACATGGCATATGATAAATTATGACTTTGAATGTAGATGGTGTAAATGATAAAGAGCACTAATTAATGAATTGAAGAAAAAGCAGATAAATAGAAATGTAATGTCTGATCTTGGAGAGATGAGTTGATGAGTACATGGATGTTGAAGTGTTAGTTTCATTACGAATAAGTGATTTTGATGAAAATAAATATTGCCTGAAGATGAGTAAAAAGGACTAAACAAGAAGCCTCCAACAGAGTCAATAGAACTGTAAATAATGCTCTCTTAACAAACTACACTTCTGTACAAACTGTATAGCCCACTTGGAGGAATGATTGGCTTACAGTACAGCATCCTGCAATCATTTGACCACAATTTACAATATTTTTGTCAAAAACCAACATTTATTTCTGGTTTTTGGCAAAAAGCATAACAAACAATAGGTGCACTTAGCAAATATGGTGTTAACAACTACCACAAAGAAATTATTAAAATGTGTGGGTCATATGATGACCTGCTTTCTGACCATCATAGCTTACAACCATAACTATCAGGCTCAATTATGGTTGTAAATCTAGGGCTACTTTTAAGTAATAAATTTAGTTGCAAAGGCAAATCCAAGATGTTTCTTTGTACCAGATTGTGAATTGGTTTAGGTTTTTTTAATGATTCTGAAATGTATGTCTTAAACCTACTTTATCCAATTGGTTATCTTTCAGTTTTGTTGTGCAGAATTGTTAGTCAACATACTGCTGGAGATGGCAACCTAATACTGAGAAACTATAGGTTAAGGAAATGTTCCTAAATATTTTAATTTTTAAAAGATTTTTATTATTAATAGCTATTGATTATTAATAATTTTGTTTATAATAAAATGCAATATAGCATAATATTAATTATGTTTTTAAAAGTTGCCTGACTACATTTTTTCTTTTCTGTTTTAAAAGTGCTGCAGTGGTTTGTTTGGGCTCTTTATACAAAAAACTGGGAAGAATTTTGGGCAACAGCTTTGTGAATACTGTGGGAAATATTCTTAAAGCAATGAAGAACGCAGAGGTAAATGAGCAGGTGTTCAAAGTTGAAATAAAATATTGATTTAAAGTCTAGTGAAGAAAACAATTTTAATGAAGGTCTAATGAACATGGGATTTTGACATTTGACGATATGCCAGAAACAAATTATATTTCTGCAGAACTTCTCTGAGTCATAAATAGGCTAATTGCCTTTGCCTTTGCCTATGATGAGTCTTTGTTAAGACTTTTCTTCTTCTCTTTTTAATCTTTATTGAAACTAACATTAAGAATGAACATTTGATGCCATGATTTAATTTTTTTTCTTCCATTTCCTCAGGCTTCCTATTTTTACTCTTACTAATACTTTACATTTTTATTGAGATGTGTCTATTGCAAATCTTCAGTGTTTATTTGCTTTATTTATAGTAATCATGTTAAAGATGAGGGCATAGACTTTTTGACTGAACAATATGCTGAAAATGCTTTAAATGAAATAATTGGCTTGCCTAAAAATGATGTGTATTGCTATTTTTAAGTAGTCACACTTGAACCTTCATCAGTGCAGAAGTGGTCTATAAGGGTCTCATTGTACTCTCTGAAAAATGAACTCAGTTTGGTTTTCAATACCTCAGTAATAAAGTGCTGAAACTTGTTAAGAGACAACTTCCAGTATTGCGCCATGACTTCTCTGCCATAAATTTAACAGTGGGTCCCTTTGGCAAAATTTTTGACCTAATTCACCTAACATGATTACGATGTCACTAAAGTTTTGTTTCTTGAAGAGTAGCAAAATAAAAATGCAAAAATAGAAAACAGTCCTGGTATTTTTGTCCTATAATAAGATGGTTTTTTTTGTCTTGTCAGTCTCAAGGACGATACGAGATCATGCTGAGTTTGCAGAACATACTGAAAGGGTTGAGAGCTGCTACTGTTCCTTGTCACAGAGATATCTACAAAGCTGCTCGTACATGTTTGACAGATAGATCCATGGCAGTTCGTTGTGCTGCTGCAAAGGTAAAACATTACTCTTTTTTATAATTAATCTTGTATACCATTTCATATGTTACACAAAGAGTAAAACAGCATCCATTCCAACCACGGTTTTGTATTGCCAAAAAGATTTTGGCATATATAAGTATGGAATATAATATACTTTTGTTAGGATTTTTCCATCACAGATAAATTCAGTATATTAATTTATGTCTATTAAAATGGTATGCATTTTGCCGTCTGACCTTATGTCTCTATAAAGATTCATTGACAACAACAGTGTGTATCCTTACTACAGACAGACAGTTAGTGTAATGATTAAGTGACCAGGCTAGAAATGAGGACACTGTGAGTGCTAGTTTCATATTAGACACAAAGCCAGCTGGATGACCTTGGTTCAGTCAGTCTCTGTAAGGTCTAGGAAACAAGCAGTGGCAAACCACTTCTGAAATCTTGCCAAGAAAATTGCAGGGACTAATTCAGGCAGTCACCAGAAGTCAAAAGTAACTTGGAGGCACTGCGCCCCAACCAAAAAAAATGGCTTTACAAATCACATCAAGTAACTTTGTTTACACATATACATTTTTCTTAGGATATTGAATTTGTGTCATTTGAAGTAAATATTCCCCTATTTTGGCAATTAATATTGACATTTTAGCTCTGTAAGTGTTTTATTTATTTTTTCCTAAATGAATCTCATGGTCATTTTGGAATAGTTATTCAATACAACCAGCATTATATGATCCTTTCTGGGATGACAAAAACAAAGTATGAACAAGGTACCAGTGTATATTTAAAGTCCTCCCCCCCCCCCTCCAATGGAAGAATGATTGAAATATTTTATTTCCTTCATCAAAAGAGCTGGACATTTGTAAAGTTTAATTGTCATAGGTTTGCATGCTTTTATTTCCTTTTATATCCTTATATCCATAATGAACAATGCATAAATATTTTTGATGTTAGTCTAGGTTTGAGATTTTAAAGATTTTTTTTTATCCTGCCTTCATTATTTTTTTATAAAAAACTCAATGCAGCATATGTGCATAATGCTTCTTTCTCCTATTTTCCCACAACAACCCTGTGAGGTGAGTTGGGCTGAGAGTGAGGCCCAAGAGTGGGGGGTGTTCCAGAGGTGGGATTCACTTACCTTCCCTACCGGTTCACAAATATGAGCACACATGCCTCATCTGTGCATGCTGCTCATGCATTGGGGCAGGTGGGCAGAGCCTCTCGCATTCGCCGTTACCTGTTCGCCCAAACTAGGGAGAACTGGCTGAATACCACCTCTGCAGAGGTGGGTTCCTACCAGTTCGGACCGGTTCGGCCCAGGCCTGCTACTGCGATCCAGGCCTGTCACCCCAGTGAACTGGTTCTCCCAGTGGTGCCATAGGCGCCACCATCTTGTTTTTAGCTTCTGCACATACACAGAGCAATTGTTATTGTATTGCACATGTGCACATCAAGTGCACCCACGTGGCATGTCCCTGAGCAAACCGGCAGTAGCAGCTGCCGGGCCCCACCTCTAGCATGTACATATACCTTTGTTTATCTGTAAAAATAAATAAAAAATCCCACAAATGAATTCCTTTCCCCCCAGATAAATTGATACGATTCAGAGTTCTAATAATAATAATGTCTACATTCTACAAGGCTTTCCCTTCCTCTTGGTTGATCTTATGTGTTTCTGGATCAAATTTAGGAAACCCTGGATTGGAGGAGAGAAGATGAATGTACGTGATAGGTTTTATATTCCTGCCTGACAGACATTGTTGGATGCAATCCATTTTTTTAGGTATTGTTTAAGCTACACAATATTTGTGCACAGATTATTTGATTTGTTTAATTTGCTTGTCTTCCTTTTCTTCTATATATAGTGTCTTCTTGAACTTCAGATTGAAGCAACTTTTATGTGGAGTACAGACATAGATAGTGTAGTAACTCTATGTTTTAAATCCTTTGAAGGATCCAACTATGAAGTACGAATGGCCGTTTCTAAGCTTTTAGGCTCTATATTGATTAGTGCTGTAACATCAAAACAAGCCGCAGGTGAGTTGATTTATTTTTTCATCCTTAATTTAGCTCAGGAAATTGTGAGCACTACCGGTAATAAAGACCCTTCAAAATCAGTCACTGAAGGATTTTAACATATGATAATAGCTAATTAGCTATTTAGCTATTAACATAATAACATATCAACTACCATACACGCACACACATACACTACATATACAAAGACACATATTTACATATACATATATGAATATTTTGCCTAAACTATGTCAGATCATTACCGCATTTAAGAAAATATATGGTCATGAGTGTGTGCTATATCAGAATAAAAATAGTGACCAAAAATATTTCCACTTTCTGTAGTGGTAAAGTGGAAAACAATTAAAGGGGAAAACAAATGAACTAAATGGCAATTAAAATTAAAAGTGCCCAAATCTAAGGAGAAATAGCATATGAGGAAACATTGTAAATAGTAAAAATTGCTTAAATTATCTAGAGGGAGATGTTGAAATGCCCATCCAGTATTTTAGTTGCCTCCATTCAGCTCAAATTGAATGTTAACAATCTGCACTACAGAAGTGACTTCCAGAGTCTCATTGATGTACCTCTATGGATTATTTGATATGTTCTATCTCCATTTTGATGACGATGAAAATATTTCATAACATTGAAAGAATTAGGCTTACCAATTTAATTACTATTAATAATATCACATTTACTCTAGCCTTTCTTTTTCTTTCTCATAAAGAAAAGGTGGTCTACTTAAATAATCACAGTATTTTCAGTTATATTATGTAATTTAATGAGAATAAAGCTAACATGGCTTCATTTGGATAACATGAGGTAAACTGGTTGTATTAAGTTGCATGCATGGATACACTGATACGACATGGATATTTTATTAATGATATTTCTGAATTTAGAGTAATATTTGACCACTGCCAAAGCATTGCCCTACACCAATGTTTTTGATATTGACCCACTTAATTTATCTTCACTGTGTTCATAAAAGCCTTGTTTCCATGATAGCCTAATCTCTAATGTTGTTTGTCAAACACATTGTAGACAGTGAACTAACCTCTTAACTCTTGCCTGTAACCATGACTTGATTTAGCTTAGGTAACCAGTATGTAGACTGAGTTTTATAGATCTGAATAAATATGAAGTACATTGTAAAGCAGTCACCCTGCAGCAATCTTTCTGTTGATTATATTTTATTTTCACTTAGTCCAATGTGATTTAATCTCATATGATAGTTGTCTGTTCTGACCCCACTCCGTATGGTGAGTCACACCAACACAATTTATTACTGCTAGACAATTTATTAACAGTAAATTAACACACCGACAAGACTTTGACAGCAACCCAGACTTCCACAGATAAGAAATACACACAAGAGCTTCTCCAGCTTTAGTATAAGACTTGAGTCCTGCAAAAGCCTGCTCCCAAAGTCTCTTCTTATATACTCTCTTGGGAGGAGCCTAATCACAACCACCTGGCCCCAATTATCTTCTATATCTCCGTAGTTGCTGTTGGTGCTTATCTGCGCGTCTTTGTCTGGCATCCAGGACCAACTCCCTTAGCTCCTCCCCACTGCTCCAGGGCCTGATGTCAGGGACCAATTCCCTTTGGCTTTCACCACTGCTCCATGCCTCAGGTGCCTCCTGGTGGCCAACCAACCTCTCTGGTCCCTGCTTGGAGTCTGAACCCTGTCCAGGGTCCTCCACATCTTCCAGAGCCAACTCATAGGGTCCCTCGTTATCGAAGTCTGTTTGCAGCTCCAATGGCTCCTGCTGGGCCACAACAGTTGTCTTTTAAAAAAGAAAAGATAAGGATCTTGCTGGTTATGGAAAAAACTTTTCTATAAAATGACATGTAGTTGGCACCGATTTGAACATTTTATCCATGATTGTTTCTGTAGTGGTTTACTTGCCATATTTAGAGGTTGTTCAATTGTTCAACAACTCTGGTTGGCTTCACAAACTAAAAGCACAATACAGATTGCCCTTGGTTAACAACCTTGTTCAGCAACCTTTCAGCCATACAATAGAAGATGTAAGTAAATGAAAGACTATGGTGTGTATACATGGGGTATGATGTGATTATATGTATTTTTTTATTTGAAAAAGCATCTGCTAGACAACATGCTCGCAAAATCTCATTTATGGAAGCTTTGGAACTGCTAGGGACAGGTTTTCTCCGTGGAAGTTCTGGATTTCTACGAACCGGTGGTGATATTTTGAAAGGAACCAGCTCAGTCAGCAGGGATGTCAGAGTTGGAGTTACTCAGGTTTGAGTTATATTATATTATGTTAAAATATGATGAGTTTTAACTTTTTTAAAAATTTATGTGATTAATTTGTTACTGTACTATATACTAGTTCCCGTTGAATATGTTTACGTTACAGTCAAGAGTTTTCCAACATTCTGAAGAAGTCTGAATGATCTTAATACTGATGAGCATCTATCTCAATTGTTAATGAAAACTTGTACATTTTTTAATTTTAAAAATGGCAGGCATAAATCAAACAAGCAAGATTTTATGGTTTAGAAAGCATGAATGTATTTTATACAGGTAGTCTTCAACATGCATTATGTCTACATTGAGACCAAAACTTGCATTGCTAAGTGAGAATCTGAGAGCTGAATCTGAGCAGACTGGGTCTAGGTTTTCTGTAGCTTACTCGGGCAGCATAAGAAGGTCAAAAAGATCAATTAATGGAAACTGCTCATTATTGCAGCCAGATTTGTTAAGTGAGCTTTGTCCCATAATAAAACCTTTCTTGCACCAGTTGTTAAGCGAATCACTGTAATTGTATAGTTAATAACACAGTTGTTAAATGAATCTGTCTTCCGTATTGACTTTGCTTGTCAGAAGGTTGCAAAAACTGATCACATGACTCTGGGACACGGCAACCATCATAAATATGAGTCAGTTGCCCAGCATCTAAATTTTGATCTTATGACCATGGAAATGCTGCAATGGTTATGTGAAAATGATCAAAGGTCACTTTTTCCAGGCCCGTTGTAACTTTGAATGATCACTAAATGAACTGTTGTAAGTTGAGGACTGTACATATCATATATGGAAATTATGCATGAATTGTTGCAAGCTACTGAGGCGATTAAGTAGGGCTGCTCTGCCTCCTAATTTGGACAGAAAAGCATGACATAAATCATACTTTGTTTCCCCTGTAAAATGTTAATTTTGGCCTGAAATCATGTTTTTGCCCCCTGGAAGATGGATTTACATGATAACCTTCCTTTTATTTTAAATGTTCTATTTTAAAGGGGGAAAGTGTGACTACATTTTTTCATCTACACCTTGAAGATTATCCCCATTTCTGTCTTTAAAGGCATGGAAATTATTTTTAGTTTCTTTAAATATATTTATTTTATTTATTTAATAAACAAATTTATATGGCTGCCCAGATCACACATAGGTGGCTGAGTGGCTTACAATATGAAAGATCACCATCAAACTACTTGGTTTTAGTAAGTAGGACAATATTCTATAAGCTCACTATACTGAAATTGCTTTTATTGATCGGCATGGAATCTTTCAAGATGTTCACTACCTTTATGTTCTGATTTCCATTGTTGTAAAACCAATTTAGAAAATAGGAGAATATATCAATAATTTCTAAGCTGTCATTCAAATTTGTAGGGGTAAGAATGGCAGTTTTAACTGAATTATTCTTGAAATTCAATCTTACCTAAATATAAAATTATATATAAAATTCTACTGATATCATTGTTCTTATTTTTCACTGGAATATTAAGTTTGCAGTTAAGAGAAGGAATTTTTCAGCATTCGGCTTAATTTGATGAAGTTTATTTTTCAAATGACTACTGTAAAATCTTTTCACTCTACTTAAAGAAACTATAAATGTAAATAAATACATTAAAATGGTTTAATGTTTTTGTAATATGTGACACATTATGTGCAAATTGAAACTGATTTTTTTTAAATCAATTGTTTTCCAGGCATACGTGGTATTCATTTCCACATTAGGAGGAGAATGGCTTGAAAGGAATTTTTCTGCTTTGCTTTCCCACATTCTGGATCTGGTCTCTCAGTCTCACCCTAAGGCTATTCAGACACAAATGGACAGTATTTGTAGCCGCCGTTGTATTTCATTTATTCTCCGAGCTACAGTAGGAGGCCTTCTTGGGGAAAAAGCTCGAATTGCAACTGCCAATGAGATTTGTCAAGCCATCTGGAAACTGAAGAAAGTTATGGGTATGGGACTAACAAGATTATTTGCCAACCCCCCTCTCCATCACCTTCCATTCCAGTAATGCTTTAATCATTTCCTCATCTAGTCATACACTAATTTAATCCTCCACACAAACCAAGTCTCTCTGGGGCTTTTCAAAATCATTTTTAAACTTAAAATGTCGTGATTTTTCCCCATGATTCAGTTTTAGATAAATGTGTGGAAAGTAGATATAATAGCTGACTATAGGCTTGGCAGCACATTATATACTCGCAATTAACATGTATATCTGATGATGGAATCACAAGCACAACATTCTCACTAATTACAAGCTTTCCTGTTCTGTTTAAGCAAGTCACGCTGAAATAAATGATCCCATTCATCTTGTTCAGTTTGGAAGGATTGCTGAAATCTAGATGATGTAACCAGGAAAGTTTGCCGAATCTGAGCAGACTTAAGTCTAGCTTTTCTTTAATGTAGCTTACTCAGGCAACATAAGAAGGTCAAAAGAGATCAATTAATGGAAACGTCACATTATTGCAACCAGATTTTAGAATCATGATTCTGTTGTGGCTATTGTTAGACAGTTATTAGTACCATGATCATAAATCTTAGCTTTTTAAAAGGTAAATTGTTGCCATCTTATTTATTATCTTAAATCAATTTTGCAGATGATAGAGGGAAATTACAATTATTATGCAATAATTTATTTACTCCAAAGTGTAGCTTCATTTTACTCATAAAAATATGTGTCAGCCCCGTATCCCTGGCTTTTATTTGTTACTTTTATTAACATAACATTTTCTGTTGTCAGATGCTGCAGTGAGTAACTGTAATGTCGAAACCCGTATTGGTACAACAGAGTTAATAGCAACCCAGCATATGTTAATATGTGCTCTAGAAGAGCTTGGAAACCTCATACATGGCTTAGGTACTACTGCTGCACCTGTTCTGCAAGATTCTAGTACAGGTAATACTCTCATAGAGTCTTAAAATATAGGATAAATAACACAAAAATGAGTGGTGGTGCCACAAATTGCTTCAGGGTGTATTCTACAGAAAAGAGAGTGTTCAGAGAGTTCCAGCAGTCTTTCTTTTAATAAATTAAATTATTGTGTATAGATTCTGAATCATCATAGATCATTATAGGGAATCTATTGGGCACATGTTGTCCGGATCAGTTCTTAGTTTAGTGATGAGAGCAAAGACTGCATTTTTAGATCATTTTGAGATTTCAGAGTGTTTCACAGAGCTATATAAGGACTGTTTCACAATGAGACAGCAGTTAGCCTAACTTAGGTAATTTCATTAAAAAGCCAAGAATATTGCACCTGTTAGTAATGGGAGACAAGGAAGAAATCCCAAACTAGGTGAATTAAGAAGTTGAATAATCCCTTGAGAGAAAGCTTTAATAAACCATTTTTTAATAATCTTGCCAAGAAAACAATATAAGCGTGTCTGGGTAATTTTCAAGAAATGGCTCAAATGAAAGGGGGCTTTACAAACAAAGCCACAGTTCTGTATGATCCTGATTCACTTATTGCAGAATTCCTGGGAACATTTTTTTTTAAGAGATGTTTGTATAAAATTGCAGTTTTGCTGCTGAAGTGGGATTTATCCTTCTTTTTGCACACATGCCATAAATACCTCTAAGGCTGATGATGACCTAGTCAAGAATAAGAATCTGCATAGCTCTTCTTGGCATGCCTGCCCCCCCCCCCAAAAAAAGTGTCCATTTTGGCTTAAGAGAATCTGGTTTGCACTGAGTAGCTTCTTTATTTTTATCAGTCTCCCAGAAAATTCTGGCAATTCTACAGGTGTTTTTTTTAGCTTACAGTGGACATATAAGGGCAAAAAAGTGGAAGCTCTGTTGATTTACGGTCTCAGTAAGCATTCTCATATGTGTTTTTAATCTTTTAATATGTTCGATTTTCCAGGAGTCCTGGATGCTGTAATCTCCATTATCCTTCATCCCTGCATTTCAGTTCAGCTAGCAGCAGCATGGTGCTTACGATGTATTGCTGTAGCATTACCCTGCTATCTCTCTCCACTTCTGGATAGCTGTATTGAGCGCCTGACAGCAATGAAATCCTCCCCAGAAGCAGTGACTGGCTATAGTTTTGCCATTGCTGCTTTGTTAGGAGCTGTCAGAGAATGTCCTTTAGGAATTCCACACGGTAAAGGGAAGGTAATTATTAGAACAGTTTGTCTGGTATTTGTTGCAGGGTCAAATTCTACAGGGAAAACCTGTCCGTGATAAAGGTTCTGTATTCAGAAACATGTAGCATTTCCCAGACTGTAGCTCAATTGGTTCAGTTTTACAAATTGTGTTTCACAGAGTGCATGAACCAGTCATAAATACTTTAATAATGAAATTCTTATTGCTGTTTAGTTATTCCATCTGTCTATTAGACATTTGAGAAACATTTGCAAGAGGTGATTTGTAGAACGTATCAGAATGAAACAGCCCTCCCATTTTGCTGGCAGAGTGCTCATCCAATCCAAAAATGGGGTGGGGAGCACCTTACCTGCCAGAGGTACCACAGCCTGGTCCTTTGCTATATCCAGACCAGCCCCTTGGGCCAGATTTAAGCACTATTAAGTTTAACACCCCTGGTCTAGTTCATAAAATGCTATGCCATACAACATATTGTCATCTTCAGTTTCATGCTCAAACAGAATAATTATTCTAGAATTTATTCCATGTAATATATATACATGAGAAAGTTAATTTGTGGGCCACGACATATGCAGAAGTAGTGTATATGCATCCCTTCATAAGAATTTAATTTTGTATTTCAGCTCTTAAAATAGTGAAATTTTTTGTTTTCATACAGGTTGTCATGATAGCAGCTGAGGACCTTTTGCGTTCAGCTGCTCAGAATAGTCGGATTTCAATACAAAGAATGCAATCAGGTTGGCTTTTGATAGCTGCTTTAATGACATTAGGTAAGATTAATCACCTATATATCTTTATTTCTTTATCATAAAAGTTGACCACTTCTGTACTTCTTGTCTGAAGTCACTGTTTCAATATACATATGAACAAGTTCTAATTGTTTTATAACTGTAGAAATATAATTAACTTAATTATTACTTCCATGTCATAGGCCATAGAGAATTAACTTTTCCAGTATAATAAATGCACAAACTACATCATTTATATTATATATGAATCATAAAGAACCACACTTTCAAGGGTGAAGCAAACAGTTTTAAAAAGAAATATGAATATGTGGATTAAAGATAATTTTGGTTTTTTCTCTAGCCCTTGCAAAACATTCATGTAACAAGGATTGTAAAATATTGTTTTCCACAGAGTCCACTATATAGTTTATGGGAAGAACATGAGAATAATGCAGAGGAGAATTTTAGTCCTGATTGGGATGTTGCAGTAGTTTTCCCGAACTCCAGTGAAGGGCAATGGAAGAATAACCAATTATCTTTATTTTGTTCTTGTATTGCTAACGCAGATAGTCTTTATAACCACTCATTCTGCTCAAAGCTATAACAGTGCTGAACAAGGGGGACTTTCAACTGTCATAGTGTCCCCATTGACACATGATTGCAATCCAGGCACTCAGTGTATGGTTTATGAATAGGTGACATAATCAAATCTTACCTGCTGGCTTCGCTCATGAAAAGTCAATGGCAGATGGGAAAGTTCACAGGAAGTCAGAAGTCATTCCCACCATTTTTTGTCATAGCAACTGCCCGTGTTGTCCCTATCTCCCTGTAGCATCTCTGCACCTGCCTCAGCATCTTAGGCAGCTTGTAAGGGCGCCTCTGGCGCCCTTACAAATCCCCAGACTTTTTCCTGGGCCTCTTCCTTAACAACTGACTAGGTCCTGGGATTACGGTGGCACTCAGGAGCAGAATTCCGGCCCCGATTGCTATCATAACCAAGGACTGTATGACTACAATGATTCAGAGTAAATAAAATCAATGTTGAGTAGTTAAAATATTTTCACACATCCAAATAGTTCTACTTCAATTTCTCATACCCATCAAACTTTGCTTATAAAAGGTCCCTTCACTTTTTAGAGTATTTTGCAAGGGCACACGGGAGCTTCAGGATGACGGGGGAATAAAATACTTTCATTAAAGAAAATGTTTCAGTCAATACCACCTACAAAAAAAAAAACATTTCCAATCTTAAAAATAATAGGTCCTGCCGTGGTCCAGCATCATCTTCCTAGAGTGCTGTTATTATGGAAATGTGCATTTCCGGTATGTCCTAAAGACTTAGAAACGGAGAAGAAACGTGGTGATTCATTTACATGGCAAGTGACACTGGAAAGCCGAGCAGGTGCTCTCTGTGGTGGGTGAAAATTGTGGCTCTTTTTACTTTTACTTTTTTTGAACTTTGAGTAGCAATAAAAGTAAAGAATGGTCTTCTTTTTTCTCCATTGATTTCCAATTCCAGGTCTTTACCTAACACTTTTTACACATAAATATCTAGACTATGAGGCAATTGTAGCTTATTTGGTTGCAAGTATAAAATTTTATTTATTGCTATATTACATGCGGACATTTGGTGCATAAGAGAGGTACTAATTACTAATCAATACTAATCTTGCAGATTAATTTTAACTTAATGCTCTGATATATTAATTAGATCATCAGACTGTTTTTTCATTGTTCAAGCATTGGAGATGCTCTATCTCTTTCACTACTTCTGGCTGAAAAGTAGTGAACATCTGACTACATATTTATGTATGTAGAATAGCTATCCTTTATATTCCATAGTACAATGGTATTATTTATTGTTTCATAATTGCATGTATTTATATACCATCCATCTCTCAAGGCTGTGTTCCAGATATATCAATTAAGCATAATTTATTATAACATTCTTCTCTTATTTTTTTCTACTTCTTTCTATAAGAAGATAGTATTATGAGTTGTGTATATAGACTGATTTACAATCAATATGCTTTATTCTCAGCTATCAAAAGCTTTATTCTCTATTGTGGAGGGCTCCTTACAGATGAAGTGATTCAAAGACTGCTTCCTCCTGTCCCATGTGCTGTTGATTTACTGACACAGTAAGTAATAATATTTTTATTTTCATCCTCAATCAACATAAAGCAGCATTCAGTGATAAAATTACAGCCATCCCATTGTGGTACCCTATTTCCCTGAAAATAAGACCTCCCCAGATAATAAGCCTAATCGGCCTTTTGAGCGCATGCGCTAAAACAAGCTCTCCCCTGAAAATAACCCATCCCTGAAAATATTGCAACACAGCAGCAGCCATGAGGTGACCACGCTCGCTGCCTTCTGCACCTCAAAAATAATAACGCCTCCCCAAAAATAAGGCCAAGCGCTTAGGTCAAAAGAAAATAAGACCCTGTTTTATTTTGGGGGAAACACGGTAGTATAGTCTACCTAATATGATAACAAAGATTTAAGATTTAATTTACTAAAGGAAACTATAAAACCATGATATTATTAAGATTGTAAGATTAATATTATGAAGAGAAGAATGAGTACAATATAGTATAATTTATATAATTTGGTTGTTAATGTATACAGGTAGTTCTTGACTTACAACCACAATTGAGCCCAAAATTTCTGTTGTTAAGCTAGACATTTGTTGTCAGTTTTGTCCCATTTTACAACCTTTCTTGCCATAGTTGTAAAGTGAATCTGGCTTCCCTACTGACTTTGCTTGTCAGAAGGTCGCAAAAAGTGGTCATGTGATCTTGAGATACAGCCACGGTCATAAGTTTGAACCAGTTGCCAAGCATCTGAATTTTGATCACATGATCATGGGGTTGCTTCAAAGGTCGTAACTGTGAAAAATAGTCATAAGTCACTTTTTTCAGTGCTGTTGTGACTATGAATGATCACTAAATGAACTGTTGTAAATCGAGGACTACCTGTACTTAGTGCTGAAAAAGGAATCTTGCAACCAGCCCTAAAATTTTCACCCATCACAGCATCCTCATGGTTATGGCATTGTGATTTTGGCACATATTTATGATGATCACAGTATCCCACAATCCTTGATTGCTATTTGTGACATTCATGGCTGGCTTCTGACGGGCAAAATCAGTGGGGAAGCCAGCAGAGTCACAAGTCCTGATCAGGTGACATCATGCTTAGTGATCTGCAATGATTCACTTAGAACTGCAATAAGAACTGACAAACTGATGTAAGTCTGGCATAATCACATGATTTTTACTCTATGGCTGCATTGTTTTAATGATGGAGTTGCCAATCGCAGTTATCACTGATAAGTGAGTGCTCTCTGTAATCACTTTAGTTTTAAAGACAGTGGTCATTTGCATGTGTGTTTATCAGGATGATGCCATGAACTAGGTTGAAAGGGGAAAAAGCCTAATGAATAAATATGATAGCCTTGAAGGACTAAGGCAGCTATCAATAAATGAAACCTGATCCCAGATCAAGAATGTAATTTGCGAAAATGCTTCCTGCAGCCCCTGCCCTTTTCCTGAAAATAAAAGAGACAGGAAAGGTAGCATGAACAAGATTCTGTTATTTTAACTCTTCTAATAAAAGTATTTTTAGATCTATATCTGAGGTGGGCTGCTATGGGTTCGCCCCAGGTTTGGGAGAACCCATAGCTAACATTATGGCCAGTTCGGAGAACCTCCAAATCCTATCTCTGGCTGGTTCCCTCCACTCTGCCCTACCCCTCCTACTCCGCCCCTCCCACACACACCTTTTTGGGGAGGGGGGGGAAACAGGCCTCCTGGAAGTTCTGGAAGGCCAGAAATGGGTCTGTTTCTGGCCTCCGGAGGGCCTCCAGAGCCCACGGGAGACAGTTTTCGCCATTCCAGAGGCTCAAGCCTCTGAAGCCTGGGGAAGGCGAAAATGCCCCCCCTAGGCCACACCCACCATGGCCACACCTACCAAGCAAACGAGCAGAGAATCCGTTGTTAAAAATTTTGAAGCCCGCCCCTGTCTATATCTTAGTCCTTATAGGACTGATAAAAAGTGATCTAGAGTATATATGGAGTGTACATTGTATCTGTTGGCACCACCTTAAATCATGAGTGTTTTCTTGGATCAGGTGCTAGCTATGGCTGAACTATAAGAAAAGGCTATAATTTCTTTAAAGGAATTCGTCCTTGCTCTGAATCACCTTTTCCCCTTTCAGTTCAGATAGCTGTCCATATGCATGAAATCAATAAGCAGATTTATCCATGTATTTAGTATATAGGCTGTCCATTTTACATACATGGCTCTAAATGAATTGAACAGAGTTTGATGTAACTGTAGGATTCTTTTTAATCTTTAAAGGCTTCCTTCACTAAATAAAATGTATGGCAGTGCTTTAAAACTATCATCAGTGACATATAGGAAAAGACTTTATGAACTGCTTGCTTTGTTGCCTCCAAAGAGTTATGAAGGTATGTATACTTCTTCCTAAAATATTTCTTGCCTTCTTTTAGTAACAAAAGGAGAAGGAAAGCATTGTAACACAGAATATAATTAATTTGTATGTAAGAAAAAGCCTTAACACAGAATGATATTTGAAAAGCCTGTAACAGATTAATTCCATTCATAATACTAGTTAAAAAAAATAGAGATGACGAAAGCATAATTTGAATAAAGATTATGCTTTTAAAAAAGCAGTATATTGTATTCAAGAACGTAGACTTTATAAATTCAGGCATGATAGCAGAGCATATAGTACGTTGTGTCCATTATGATTCAGAATCTAAATGATCATATGAACTTTTTGCTCTATGGTTCTTCCTCTGCTTTTTATTTTTAGTATTTTTGCTTGTCAGATGGAGACTGTAGATGTATCTCTTCGTGCAGTGAAATTCAGAAATAGAAGAATTGCTGTAACACTGAGTAACAGACATTAGGCCACACAGCAGTTCAACTTTTTAAACCTTAAACTGTCCCACAAAGTCAATTTAAACTGCAGGGTAAAGAATTAAAAAAATATAAAACTATTCTGCCTTACTGGTAATGACCAAGGGTTTTCTGTTTTTCATAGCTAATTTGTAGTTTTATCATAGGGCAGGTGTGTCAAGGCTGGATCCGGGCCGCAGCAAAGGACTGGTCTGCAGGGCCTTTGCCAATGAAAATGGAGCTTATGAGGCCCACAGGCAGCCTACCCAAGCTCCATTTTCACTGGCAGAGGGTTGCAGGAGGCTGTTGCAGCCGAAAACAGACATGAGGAGCCCATTTTTGCTGGCAGAGCTTGGGCTACCACTGGTGTCCCTGACACGAGTGAAATTGAGCTGGCCATACCCATCCTGGCCATCTCCATCCTGGCCCCCTGAGGTCAAACACAACCCTGATGAGGCTCTCAATGAAATCGAGTTTGAAGTAGTATATTACAAGCTAATGTATTTATTTTTTGTTTCTATTATACTATTATAGATGCTACATATTTATAAACGTGAGCTATATTTTCTTATTTTAATTTCGGATAGTCTACCCAGTCACTGAAAATGAAAAGAAATTCTAGCTGTAAAAACACTTCTCTTGATATTTGCAATCTTGAATCTGGTGCTTCACCAGAGTATCAATCTTTCAATATCAGATTTATTTCAAAAGTTACTTGATATTTGGAACTGCAAAATCTATTTTCTAATAAGTACCTAAAAAAGGAAATACCACTTCATTGAGTTATATTGGTATTCAAAAGAATTTTTTGCTCTACTGCAATAATTTCTGGAGGAAATTAGTATTTCTTCAGCTATTCTTTCTAACAATTGATTATGATATGCTTACATTCTTGTTTTAGAAAGCCTTTCATTTTTTGGCATAATATATTTCATATGAGATAGTTCAGGTTTATTTGCCCACAAATCCACACATTTATCAGAAATCACATTTCTTGTCCTTAAAGTACTGTGTCAGTAGTTTATTTGGGTACCAGCTATGCATAAAAAAACGTATTTCTTTCACTTCAAAAATTGCAGGAAGTTTCTCTGCTGTTCTTAAAGAACTAGTGCAAGACTTGACTCAGCTCGATAATCAGGCAGCTGCCTCTGCTGCGTATCTTCCGCCCTTTTCCCACCACTGCGAACTTGCCTTATTTGATCCCTTCCTGCAGGAGACAGAACACAGATTTATTGAAGAGCAGGTATCATATTTTAGTGACTATTTATGCACATAAAGGAGAAAAACCATATCCTGTAATGACAATTGCTTTTCTTCTGTCTTTGCAGTTATTCTTTGTTAACAACACAGCAGGGGGAAGCTTGGAGTTTGACCCATTTGCAATATATGAGAAGGCTACACATGGAGATTCAGTGCCTAAGCCTTTGTCTCCAACTTCATCCATTGTCAGTGCAGCAACACGTCTCTTTGGAGTGATATTTTCACAAGCAACAGAGACCCAAAGGTAAAGACTCTACAGATGAGACTTCAGTTTCAGATTAGTTACTCATGGAAAATACATTATTTTTCAAAAACATGTATTTTATCTAAACATTCTTTTTTGCCTTATGAAGTAACCCATGATAGGAATTATCTGTCTTAATTTATATACTATGCATGTATGTACATATTACAGCGCCAAGGGTTTCCCTCTGATAAGTATAGCAGTGTGCTGAGTGTTATGTGACAATAATTATGCTACTGAGTAAGCTGATTGGGCTGTCAGTACTGGAATTATATAAAACAATGTCATAGACCTGCACTTTTTATATGAAACAAAAATTCTAGTTGTAAATGAAATGTATGATACATTGATTTTATCATATTATATTTGCAAAGTTTAGAATATGAATCTGAAAAGTGCTGTATTGTGTTTATCGTATAGATCTTCTTAAGAACTCTTAATTCAGTTATTATGAGAGATTGTTAAAAAAAACTTTGTTTATATTCCACATAAATATGAGATTTGAAATAAATTGTAGATGCAACTTTATTAATGTGTGTGTGTGTGCGTTTTAATTAGAAAGTTCTGACATATTTCCTGTGTTTTTCTTCATTTCCTTAAGTCACAAATCCCTGAATTAGGTATAGAAAAAACACACTGAAATATACTGTAGGTATGCCACAATAGCTGTTTGGATGCTTTTGAAAGGCAGCTATAGCCTTGACAAAGAACTATAAACAAATGTTGAGAGAGAATTTAGAGATTAACACTAAGAAATAAACATCTTGTTGAGCCATATTTTATAGACTTTACAGTATATGAAACAGGAGCATCTACAATATATGAAATGGGAGAAAGGCTAATTATTCCATTTCCTCTTGTATTTAAGGTTGCAAGTGCTGGAACAGTTATTGGCATCCATAAAACAAACCAAAGGATCACGGCAGCAGATAACACAGCAAAATATTATATCAGCAATTTGCAGTGCCCTAAAGGTAAGAGTCGCCCTTCTGTTTATTATGAAAGTCAGTGATATCCATCATAATCATTTAAGGGGAATCTGAAACAAGTTTGTTGTCTTGTTTTCTTTGAAGTTCCTAGTGAATTTTGTTGTCTGTTTTTCTAATATTGAAAAAAAAATGTAATTTAAAAGACAAATAGATGAATTCAACTGCTATTATACCTTTGTTGTGCTTTTAAAGTTGAGTTGGTTGAATGCCATCTGTAGCTAGATGATAACGGTTTCATTTTGCAAAGTATTTACTTCCATACATAACACCAATGCTTGTTTGCTTTTTACATAAAAGATGAACTACCATGTACAGTTTAGCACTATAGATGAATGCACCCTTGGTTTAATATAACATACATAAAACACATCATATCAAAAGTCAATGCATTTTCTTCTTCCTTAAAAACTTCATTATAATTTTAAGGTCATATGAGAGAAGTTCTAAGTGTTATTTCAACAGACTACTATATATTAAATAACTTGAACTTGCCTTACTTTGATGTTAAACAAAATCTGCATAATGTATTGCTTTATAGTAATAAAGTACTATTCCTTTTCATTATAGTAATAAAGTAGTATTCCTTTTCATCAAACCTCTGAAAACCATTTAACTACAAGAGGGAATCCATGTTCACACTCTGGCTCTCTCATGCTCAACATTTTATGCTGAACAATAATTTAGGATATATTTAGCATAGCATTCAAACCATTTGTCTCTCTTTAATAATTCTTGGCTATTCTATTCTATTCTTGTTATAATATAATATACAACATCAATAGTAATAATAATAATAATAATAATAATAATAATAATAATAATAATAATAATAATAATAATAATAATA